ATAGTTTATTGAGCCTTTTCTTTTAACAGTTTTAAATTTCAGTTATTGTGCGCATGAAGAACAATTCATAGTGCTCTCTATTGTAGTGATCTAACAGACACCCAGTAGAAAGTAACATTAACATGAACGAGAAACAGCACTAAACTCCAGCAAGATAAAGTCCTTTTATGCAAAACCACTGATCTTTATCTATAGATCAAGTATAATAATAGGAACATTTGATCATCTTAGAGAGAGTTTCATCGTCTTGACTGTCTCACCGAATGAGATGTGCCGATTGAATGCTGAATGGAGGATGACAGACAGCCGCAGCGGAGAGAAGAGTTTAAGTGAACTTGTATTTAACGACTTAAATATTCATCTGTACTTCACATTGAACTATGGAACGGTCTCACAACACCTGAAATATAGTGCAAGGAAACTTTATGGTGCTTTATAATGATCTTGTGCCTTTCGTGGGGCTTAACAATAACACAGAGTAGTATACTCACAATATCGGATTTGGATTGGTCTCGTCTGACCGATACTGAATATCGGATCGGCGCACCCCTAGCTACAGGTGTTAGGTTTTTTTTTTTCTTTCTGGCTAACCCTAGAGGTCTGATCTCACACATAATTACTAGCGAAGAGAAACAGATTCACATCTCAAAAGCCTGCTAGATTGAACAGAAAAATCGACTCATTTTCACATATATTTAAAACTCCAAAATGCTGTAGATCACAGCACTTCAAAATAAGCCTTTTGCTTATGTGTATTTCTCAGCACACAGTCGTCATTCTCCACATGCAGCTTAACACAGCAGTTCAATCACATTTCAAAATGCACTAAAGCACTGAAACACTCCATACACAAACACATTCTACCTGAACACAACCAGCAAGAATGCTTTATCACTCATAATTCAAAGGTAGGTAGCATTATACAAGACGATCATTTATTCATGGGAAGTATCTTGGATATGTACAGAATCCAAAATAAAAAGGCCAGACCCTTATTGTGCTGGACGCACTATATATGCGATATGCTTCATTATGCCTTATTTCTCTCTCTCTCTCATATTTTATCATTATTATTTTTATGTATGTATGTATGTATGTATGTATGTATGTATTTATTTTTGGCAAAAATAAATAAAATAAATAAATAAATAATAATAATAATAATTCAGTAATTTAGTTAAACAACCCCAAATGACAGCCCATCAAGCACAGGTCAGCACAGATATGGGAACAGCGACTGCGTTTGTCCTCTCTAGTGATTCATCTGGGGAAGAATGATGATGACTTTTCGTTTTCCACCACGAATAAGTGCAGTTGACAAAATTCATTTTAATTTTCAATACAATTTTGATTGCTTTGAGCAAACAGGTTCAGCGCTGAAGTATCAAGACAAGGTTCCTTTAAATTTTAAATTCAGGTATTTTTGAAATGCCAAAGCAATGGGAAAATGTCACGGCAGCAGAGTGGCACGTGTGTCTAACAAACCTCTGAGATCAATCAACACTCAAGCACAAACTTCCTTCACGGGTCAACAAAATCCCACCAGTAGAAGATCTCAAGCTCAGACATCTATGGACCAAATCAGCACCTAATGTTGCACACATTAGTCTGTTTTATTCATATTCCTAGGTCACGATAGCCACCTAGATCCAGACCGTATCCAGATCAGATGGTGGATCAGCACCTAGAGAGGACCTCTACAGCCCTGAATGTCAGCGGAGACCAGGACAACTAGATGAACCCCAGTGAAGACCTCATCACCTCGACGACCATCGGCACAAGACCACAGGAACCAGACGAGTCCTCTGCTCAATCTGACCTGTGCTGCAGCCTGGAATTACACCACACCATGCTGGTTTCGTCTGACCAGAGGAGAACTGGCCCTCGACTGAGCCTGGTTTCTCCCAAGGTTTTTTCTCCATTCTGCCACCGAAAGGAGTTTTCGTTCCTTTGGCTTGCTTAGTTGGGGACGCTTGACTGATTGCACAGACACTATTGGAAGAGAGCTGAACTGGATGATGACATCACTGAATCATCAATGAACTGACTTTAGCTAAAACATGACTCTGTTATTGTCTTCTTGCATTATTGACAAACAATTTTCCTGTTTGACTCCGTAAAGCTGCTTTGACGCAATCAGTATTGAATAAAGCGCTATACAAATAAAGGTGACTTGACATGGTCTCTTTTAAAAGAAAACACTTCTTTAAGGTTATTGCTGAAGTGAAAAGTTTGTAAGTAAAACATGTTTTACTCAAAAAAAAAAAGAGATCTCTATGAAGAATTTCAGTCAGTTTTCAGGCCCCACCATAGCACAGAAACTGCACTTGTTAAAATTACAAATGACTTGCTTCTTGCGTCAGACCAAGGCTGTATCTCATTGCTAGTTTTACTTGATCTTAGTGCTGCGTTCGACACTATAGATCATGACATATTCATATATCGATTACAAAACTATACAGGTATTCAAGGGCAGGCTTTAAGATGGGTTAGATCCTACCTGTCCGATCGCTACCACCTTGTTCATTTAAATGGGGAGTCATCTCAATTATCACTGAAAAGCGCTATACAAATAAACTTGAATTGAATTGAAAACTCTAAAACTGAACATGAAAATCAAAGCCATAAATCTAAAGAAGTTGTGTTCCAAATATGAGGTTGATATTACAAACAAAAAAAAAAAGCTTTCAGTCAGATTTTGTTTGGGCGCAATACCAAACACTTCCACTAGATTAAATTCATTTCTCATTCTAACGTGGTCATATTTGACAGCAAAGAGTACAAGTGTGACTATTTTTCAGGTCCATTTAACCTTTTCAAATCATGTCCTTTATTTTTTATTTTTTTGTGTGTGTTCACAAATCCTTACCAAGTTTCGTACCATTCCAATGACGTAAAATATTTCAGTGAAAAATTTGTGAAGAGCACCAGAGGTTATTTAGCATTTATGACGACTGATAACTTTTACTGTCCTGCAGCACGTGAGCTTGTGATGTGTGAGAAATATAAACCATAAATGACACCAGATACACGCCGACTGATGTTTCCATGTTTGTAATTTAATAAAAAGACATGACAATCTGAAATTCAGATGTTTCTTCGCAGTGTGACTCTAAGCTCTGTATTTGTCAAGATATCGTCTCTCTAAAATCTGATATACCTTTACAACAGCATTTAAGAAAACATCTTTTAAACGTGGTACTTCATATAAGTCATATTTACAGAATGTACATCATCACGCAACGAAAACACTTTTAACGGCTAATATCATGTTACGATACGTCACTGTCCACAGACCAGAGATCAGACGACTGTACAGGATAAATAAACTCCAATGGAATGAAACGCAGCTGATCTCCAAACTCAATGATCCCTAAAACACGGCTCCTGTTGAACTGGACTGATGACGCACAGAAACGAGTGAATGTGACTGGGTTTAAAATCAGCTGCAGCCAGACGAGATCAATATAAACCAATAAAACAACTAAAGTTAAGGCAACCAACACTTCAAAATACAGGCGGACGAATCTCACTGTAAAGAACCGGTCCAGATATCATAGTTCAAGCCGGTTTCTCAGACCACTGAGATTTTCTGCATTTTGATGCTATTTTTAGCTGCAAATATTATTAATGAAATGCAAAAAAATATTTTGGAAAAAAAAAAAAGAAAATTATTTAAATGGCAAAATCTATATACATTATGTATGTATTTATATCATTGTATTACAGTAATGAGAATCTAAAGAGAATCACTATTGATATTGAAAAACAGAAAACACAAATCAAAAGTAAAACTTCCAGGAATTATGGTTTATTCTCTACGTCATTTTACGGCACAGATGGTTTTGATAGGTTGAGTTAAACCAATGGTTTTCTAAAAAAAATAATTAAATAGATTTCAAAAAAAAAAAAAAAAAAAAAAAAAAAAAAAACATTTTTAAAGCCAAATAAAACT